AGTTAAGCAATCAATCATTGATTAAGACACAAGCTGTGACATATTATTTGTCACTGCTGAATTTGGTGTATTTGCTATTCCATAAGGTATCTTCAGTTGTTTTTGCTTGCTGTAGTATGGATCATAAGCTTTCTTCATAAATGAACTAAACAGGCCAAATATTGACTTGATTGCTGTAACAGTACTGTGTTTCTTATTAGTTGACTCAGCATTATTTGATACGGGATCAGTAGTCTCACTATTGTTTGACACTGGATCTGGTTCACCAGCTGGAGTGTTAGTAATTAGTAGCTCTTTAATATCAGATCGATTGTAAAACTCAACACCATTCACTATATCCAGTGCATTCATTCCTTCATCATTTCTTCTGTTAACATCAGCTCCAGCTTGTATTAGTGTATCAACTAGTTCAATGTGTCCACATGAAGCTGCTATCATTAATGGAGTTATACCAGCTACTAGTGGAGTATCTGGACTTATACCAACTTCATAAATCATACTAATTAATGTTCCTAAATCTCCCTCAGCAGCTGCTGCTAATAATTTTCCCTCGCCATTTGAAAAAGACATTATTTTCTCAGACAAATGAATTATCATTGAAGAATGGCCTCCATAACATGCTAAGGATATAGCACTGATGATGTCTTCTGGTGTGATATCACATTTCTTCATACAAACTGCAACTGCATCAAAATTATTGGACAGTGCTGCCAGTTCTAATGAATGAAGCTCCTTACCATTAATAGTGTGAATATGATTAGGATGATAATCTAGTAAAAGTTCTAATATAGTAATAAAATTACTAAAGCTAAACTTGTCAAGCAATCGAGCACACTCATCAGGAGATGTAAAACCAGCTATCGTAAAGTCTGAACAAACTATATAAATTGTAATAAGACTACAGTGGAACCTCGCTTAACGACCACCTCTAAGTAACGGCCGTCTATCATATAACGGCCAAATGTCCAGGTCCGGATGCAAACTACACTTACTTGCCTGTTAAGGCAACCCCTGAAGAACGACCACCTCTCTATTGCGTATAACGAGCACTCAAAATGTCCCCAACACAGCATAAAGCATTGAGAAAAACTTCTCTTTAACGGCCAAGTGGCCACACCCATCACCAAGACCGGATGTTTTCATCATAAAACGTCACCTACAGCCCCACCCATCTAAATAAAATGGCTGAAACCTTGAGCATGCCCTTTCTTCTTGCTGTAATTCGCTTATTTTCCCTGCTACCTCTTACATACTACCTGCAGGACCTTTGTACTTGTTATTGGCCTGAGGAATGAATCAAGATACTTAAGAAGGCAACACAGTTAAATATCTTTTAAGTTATACACTTTAAACTGAAACCCCTCAATAAAGACCACCCCTCTATAACAGCCAAAGGACCAGTTCCTAATGGTGACCGTTATACAGAGGTTCCACTGTAATGCCAGAATTTTGAGAGTTAATATCTGGATTTTTATGCAGTAATAGTTCAACAACTTGGTGATGTCCATTGTGACAGGCATACATTAAAGCAGTCTGTCCATCATTATCTCGAATGTTAATATCTGGATTTTTACTCAGTAAGAGTTGAAAAACCTGGTGATGTCCATTGTGACAGGCATACATTAAAGCAGTCTGTCCATCATTATCTTGAATGTTAATATCTGGATTTTTATGCAGTAATAGTTTAACAACTTGGTGATGTCCATTGTGACAGGCATACATCAAAGCAGTCTGTCCATCATTATCTTGAATGTTAATATCTGGATTTTTACTGAGTAAGAGTTCAACAACCTGGTGATGTCCTTTGTTACTAGCAAGCATCAAAGCAGTCATTCCATAAATAATATCTTGAATGTTAATATCTGGATCTTTACTTAGTAAGAGTTCAACAACCTGGTAATGCCCATTAGCACTAGCAGCCATCAAAGCAGTCCCTCCATCATTATTTTGAAAGTTAATATCTAGATTTTTACTTAGTAATTGTTCAACAGCCTGATGATGTCCATTGCAACTAGCGTATATCAAAGCAGTCCATCCATCATTATTTTGAATGTTAATATCTGGATTTTTACTCAGTAAGAGTTCAACAACCTGGTGATGTCCATTAGCACTAGCAGCCATCAAAGCAGTCCCTCCATCATTCTTTTGAAAGTTAATATCTAAACTTTTACTCAGTAATTGTTCAACAGCTTGATGATGTCCATTGCGACTAGCGTATATCAAAGCAGTCCATCCATCATTATCTTGAATGTTGATATCTGGATCTTTACTCAGTAATTGTTCAATAACCTGGTAATGTCCTTTGTAACTAGCAAGCATCAAAGCAGCATATCCATCATTATTTTGAATGTTAATATCTGGATCTTTACCCAGTAAGAGTTCAACAACTTGGTCATGTCCATAACGACTAGCATACATCAAAGCAGTCCATCCATCATTATCTTGAATGTTAATATCTGGATCTTTACTTAGTAATAGTTCAACAACCTGGTAATGACCATTGACACTAGCATGCATCAAAGCAGTCCATCCTTCATTATCTTGAATATTAATATCTGGATTTTTATTAAGTAACAGTTCAACAACCTGGTGATATCCGTTGGCACTAGCATACATCAAAGCAGTCCATCCTTTATCATTTTGAATGTTATTATTCAAAACTTCACTAAGTACGAGTGCCTTTACTGCGTCAAGAGCAGAGGAATCTTCTTTTTTACTAGCAATTACGAGGGCAGTGTTATCATTTTCAAGAGGTAAACTAATGTTAAGTTCAGTTAGAAAAAACAATACTTTTTCATCATTAGTTTTATAAGCTTCCAGCAGTGTGGCCTCAAAAGTAAATGAGCTATCTTCATCTTTCATTATAATTGGAATATCATCAATCATAACCATAAATACACCAATCTTATATAGAGAAGCTTCCTGATCAAAAACTACTGCCATTAATGATTCAGTTTGTAACGATTGGGGCAAGAAATATGTACAGGTGTAGCTGGAAGAATCGTAATGGGTTTCAATGAGGTTTAGAAATGATGAAATAGGAGATAAGTAAAAAACTTCCATTTTATTTAATTTAGTGATTTTCCTTGAGCACCATGGCTTGTTGAGTCTTAAAATCAATTTAGAACAGCCAACACTATCAGGGCAAGGCATCCCTTTAGTCATAATTGCAAGCTCCAGTAGGCTAGTGGTATCTTTGAATATCTTCAGGTTAGTATTGTATTCTTCTACCTGTTCCTTGATAGGTTCTGTGATAGTACATGGTATTGTGAGAAGGTTAATGTTTAAACACGAGTAATGAGGCTGAAGCAACTGCACTAGTTGATGAGCATTTTCACAAGTAGCATCTTCTTTGATATATAATTGAAAGATTTGCTTTGCTTCTGCTGCCAAGGCTTTGCTGGTCAAAATATTGGTAGCAGCATCAATAAAGCTACTGTTCAATGCATGAAAACAATTTTGCAGCCATTGCAACCTTTCTTTTAAATGATTTTTAACAATATGTATAAATGGACTATACAAAAACTTATAAATACTCACTCCTCTTTATTTAACAGCTATTTCCAGCATGTCTTCAACTGAAGTGTCCTCTTGTGGTATAATTCTTTCTCCTCCAACTGATTCGTATAAATGTTGAGAGAGAGCAGTACATGCTAAACTGTTCAATCCAATGTATCCTTTATTGGCTGGTAGTCGTACAAATGGATTAGCACCAATTTGTAGCAATGATTTGAAGATTTCAATATGTCCACCTAGACTAGCTAACATTAGTGCAGTCTGGCCATTAGCGTTCTGGTAATTAAGTTTTATTTTAAGTCCCATCAAAAGTAATGATATTCTGTCATATTCGGGACTACTTTTGATACTTGCAATAGACTGTAGAAGTGATTCTTCAAATGTGAAGCTAACATCTTCCTCTCTGTCAATGATAGTTTGATTGTCAATGATCAATTGAAATATTCCAAGAAGATGCAAGAAGGGAATTTTAGTTTGTGATTTCACAATGAGAGGCTGAACTGATCTGTTCGAAAATACCAAAAATTGTATAGATATTGATCCTCGAACAAACTTCTTTATGGTAATATATTTTTCTTCATCATCAAATAAATATTTTAATAGCTCACGAAGATGGTAAATAGTTTGTTTGCTCCATTTTTCAGACAGTTTGAGAATTATTTTAGGATCAACTTTAGTACTTTCCCCAGTTATTGCTGCTCTAATAGACGTCATAATATCATTGATTTTTGCTGCAACAATAAATTCATTAATATCTTTCCTATATTCATTAAACCTGGCTTGTAATGCTGAATCATCTATTTGGTACTTTTCAACAAGATGCCTTATTAGCTTGATATCAATGAAACTATGATATGGTCGTATCTGCTTAAATATTTTATCAACTGTCACACCATCCTGTGCTAGATCAAGACCAGCTTCATTAAAATAATTTTCAACCCATCGAGCAATAACAATTGCTTCATATTTTCCACTGGATGCATAATACGTAGTAATATCAGTCATCAGATTTGTATATCTTATATGCATAGTTTCAAGTTCAACTGCTAGCTTGTCATCATCAGAACTAAGCTCTACTTCTTTAGGAATAAATTCTGTGACTGCTTTAGTAAAAGAGAATGATACTTGATGATCTTTAAATACTTCATTCTCCCAGTCTCTAGCTAGTGCAATGGCCTCCTCTTGAGCAGGACCACCTGCAGTTGACAGACAGTCTATAAAAAGAGAACACACCTCCATCAT